TTTTATATTATCGATGCCCTATGTCACTCTACATTTTATTAATCAATGCTTATGATGCTAATTTATAATACTATATGCATCGGTTGTAATATCATATAGGATGTTAAGAAACTACTTTCTTGTGATATACCATTGCCTCATGCATGCTTGCTTAGTTGGACGTGATTATTCATGTATATAGGAGAATCATTGATTGTTAGATCATTGATGCTATAGACCATGAGTTATGGATCAAGAGTCTCACACTTAATCATGTGCTATTCTTTCATCCTTTCTCTTAGTTAGCTAGGAGATTGCATGAAGCGAAAACATGCATTAGCTGGTTATTGTTTCTTTCACATGTGGTGAAAGCTCGGTTAGGAATGCATTCATGGAAGGGATATGGTATCATAAAAGATGGTGCATTGAAGCATCTTGTTAATGAAATTGTATGCATGATCATCTAGATAACACTAGCTAAATAATAGTTTTAATTTTGGTTTCGTTCATTCTTTATTTACTTTAGTAGAGTAGAAATTGGACCAAGTGCAACCAAAATTTCCTGCAGCTTTAGTGACCACCCACAATCTGTCACTAAAACCCTGTAAAGTTCAACCACCCAAAACTGATTAGACCAATTTATAGTTTAGGGTTAGGGTTTCAATATTAGGGTTTGGATTTTGTTTTAGGGTTTAGTGTTAGAGGTTTGGGTTTACGGTTTAGTCTGGGCGGTATGAATATTTACTTTTGCATGAACTGATATTATATGCGATAAATATTAGTTTGTGAAGTAAGGGTTGCCCGCCGAGAGCCCATGGCCGAAGGCCCATGAAACACTTATAGTTTTTATGGTTTAGTGTTTAGTGATTAGGGTTTTAGTGTTACAGTTTACGACTTATTTTTTAGGGTTAAGTGTTTAGTTTTTAGGTTTAGTTATTAGTGTTGTGGTCGGATATTAAACTGGGTGGTGTTTGAATTTGTTTGCAATAAATGGATATTATTTTAGGTGGTTTGGATATTAGCTTTGGTTTGAATTGATATTAGTTAATGTTTTTGGATATTTGTTTGGGAGGTTTAGATATTCTAATGGGGCACTTTTTGTAACTATTACGATGTGATACTTTATTTATTTAAACGTCTAGCACTTTTGGTAACTATTCGGATTAGTGTACAAATATCATATATTAGTCAGTGTGTGGTGGATATTAGTCTGTTATAGTTAAGTGTTTAGTTTTTAGGTTTAGTTATTAGTCTTGTGGTCGGATATTAAACTGGGTGGTGTTTGAATTTGTTTGCAATGAATGGATATTATTTTAGGTGGTTTGGATATTAGCTTTGGTTTGAATTGATATTAGTTAATGTTTTTGGATATTTGTTTGGGAGGTTTGGATATTCTAATGGGGCACTTTTTGTAACTATTACGATGTGATACTTTATTTATTTAAACATCTAGCACTTTTGGTAACTATTCGGATTAGTGTACAAATATCAGATATTAGTCAGTGTGTGGTGGATATTAGTCTGTTATAGTTATAATATTATTTTGGGATCATAGGATATTTTTCGGCGAAGTTGGGATATTATTCTGGGTGGTGTGGATATTTGTTATGGTGAACAGATATTAGTATGAGTGGACCCAGATCAGTTTTGGGTGGAATTTTGGGGAAAGAAACCCCAATTTGTATCCAAAAATCAAAGTTATGGGGCAATTAATATCCGAACCACTTTTTCTCTCTCAACTCCTCTTTCTCTCTTCTTTTTCTCTCAATTCTCTCTTCCCCTCCGATGGAAAAGACGCCAGCGACGGCCATCATCCTTCTCTTCATCCTCCACCGTCTAGGGAAAAGTCTCCGATGATGATCGATGACGAGAGCGAGTTAGATCGTCCAACAACGAGCTCGTCCAATGAAGAAGATGAATTTGTTGATGATCTATTAGATGGTTTGAGTCAAATACATGGTGGTGGTGTGCTTGGCTTGATGGAACAGTAGAAGAAGAAGAAGAAGGTGATTGTAGATTGACATATATATATGTTTGTGTTGTTGAGTTGTTAAATTTTGGTTGGGAGCATTGAATGAAATTTAATGCAGTTGCTGTGAGTATAATATTTGTTGGTCGTCCTGGGATTCTATTACGAGCGAGTTGGATACGATTTACCTACTGTTTGTTGGACGTAGTGTGTTGCCTCTGTTTATGTTGTGTGGATACCAGTCTGAGCCTTTTGGATATTTACTAAAGTATTGTGGATACTAGCCTGTTGGATTATAGTATGGATACTTGTTTGGAGCCATCCGATACTATTCTTAGATTCATGAAACATGAGCTAGCCTCCTGTTTACGGATTTTATTTAGATGTATTTTGGGTATTATTCTTGGCGCTTTGGATACTAACATGTAATGGAAATATCTCATAGCTCACATTACTTCAGACCTAGAAGATGAGCAGGCACGGAATAACATATTTTTTTGCACTAAGGACGAGTGTGTTCATTTCTACGAATGCTATGCTCACAATAAAGGGTTTGGTGTTCGAGTATATTCTGTAATAAGCAAGGCTCTACTAGTGAAGTCAATGTTGATAAACAGAAACAGTCCGTGGACAAGGTTGTGGAGAGAAGCCGCCCTAAAAGAAAGAGGTCTCGAATTAGGGCTGGATGCACCGCCCATGTTCGTTTTCGATGGGATGAAAATAGGGCTGGATATGTGGTGCACAATTTCGTTGGAGCTCACTGTCATGATTTACACTCCACCGCACCTATTCAAGTCAAACAAGTACGTGAGCAATGCTCAAGGACTTGTTGCTAAAGCAAATTGCAACGCCGGGATGAGTCTTAGGTCATCGTATAAGCTACTAGCTGAGTGTGCCTGCGGGTATGAGAACCTGACTTTTATCAAATCTTATCAGAAGAACCATTTGGACAAGAAAAGACAAAAGGATATGCCTCGTGGCGAGGCGACTTTCTTGCTTGACTACTTTGATGACCTAAAGGAGAAGTATCCATGCTTCTTTTATGTTGTAGAAGTAGATTGTGAGGAGAAAGTTGTCAGGGCAGATAGTAGGATGCGTGAATAATATGCACTTTTCGGAGACTCGGTTTCTTTCGACACCACCTTCCGAACTAATAAACACTTTCGGCCATTGGGTATGTTAATCACCTAATTTCCTTATTTTTTTGGATTGACATATATATGTGTTTTTATTGTTGAGTTGTTGAGTTTTGGTTGGGAGTATTGAATGAAATTTAATGTTGTTGGTGTGAGTATAATATTTGTTGGTCGTCCTGAGATTTTATTACGAGCGAGTTGGATACGATTTACCTATTGTTTGTTGGACGTAGTGTGTTACCTCTGTTTATGTTGTGTGGATACTAGTCTGATCCCGTTGGATATTTACTAAAGTATTTTGGATACTAGCCTGTTGGATTATAGTGTGGATACTTGTTTGGAGCCATCTGATACTATTTTTATATTTATTGATATGATTTAGCCTATTTTTACGATTATGCATTTCTTTAATGTTTGTTTTTTGCAGGGATGTTTCTAGGTTTCAATCATCACCGACAAACTTGCGTGTTTGGCTCTTGTTTGTTATATGACGAGAAAACTCCTTCTTTGAATGGTTGTTTGAAGCATTTAGTCAGTGCATGAAGAGGAAACTCCCAGTGACCATCTTCACAGATTAGGACGCAGGTATGGCAGCTCTGCCCTTAGAAAGGAGTGGCCTACTGTGTTTCATGCTCTCTGTACTTGGAACATCCTCATGAATGCCAAGAAACATCTTCGTAAGGACAAGGCATTTTGGAAGAAGTTCCAAAATCATCTTGCTTATTTTTTCTACTACGTCGACAGCGAGGCTGAGTTTCATGAGGCATGGAGAAGCATGCTTGCTGATTGTTTTCTCGGCAGTGAAATTGTGGACAGCCACCAATGGATGTAATATTTGAAGAAATTTCATCATCAATGTTGTTCCTTATATCTGATAAATCAATTCACAGCGGGGATGTAGACAATGCAAGCTAGCGAGTCGTGCAATTCACAAGTGCGAATCTTCTTGAAACCGAGGCCTAATCTCGACTAGTTTTTCATCCACTTTACCTGGTACATGATGAGAATACTACTTTGCCCTTTTTGGATATTATTTAGCACCTTATGGATATTGAACCGCGATGTGCTGGTATTGGTACATGATGGTGTGATATAATTTTGTGTTGTTTGGATATTTTTCTGTTTATATATGGATATCAATATGGGCAATCAACATTTTGGTTTTCTTCATACATGCAGTACGTTGGCTGACAAAAGGTGCAAAGAGACTGAGTCTGACTACAATGGGAAACAATCAGCCCCTTACATATTGTCGGAGAAAAGTTCGGTCCTCCAACATGCTGCCAAGATCTTCACTTCTAACATCTTAACCAGGATTCAAGAGCAGTATCTGGAAATTGAAGACTATCTAATTGAGCTTGTCCCAGATACTAGAGATGATGGCTTCATTAGCTACCTTACATATAAGATGGAGAATGGTGAGTATAGCGATGAACGTGTCACTCTTGTCAATATTTTTACGACCACATTGGTATGCGAATGTAGGATGTTTAAAACTTTCGGGGTGCTTCCCAACAAATGCTTCTTTCACGTCGTGAGCCTGACGGTGGCTCTTAAGTTTCGGTCCATGCTAGAAGCTCCTTGAAATTGAGGTTCTCGTCGGCGAGGCAGAGTGTCAATTCAAGAGCATGTGGTATGACAAATCATGTAAACTCGTGTACTTGATGAATATGAAGTCTCCGCCCATGAGACCTCTTCTTTTCTTCCGCTCTCGTCTCATTGCCCCAAACCAGATATGACAGCATCGATTGACCACCATTGCGTCCACCAAGAGGGATTGATGTCGATGTGGGCTTGGTCTGGCAAAGAGACACTGCATATGGGTCCTTGCCAAGCAGCTCCTCGAAGTTTGGTGGAGATATCACATGTAACTCATAGCCGGTGCAAGCCTCTTCCACCTTAACTTCGTCCTCAGCCTAGACGCCAATTGCTTCTTCAACCCCCCTTCCTTCCTCAGAATTTGATTCCTCCCCGAGGAAAAGATCAAGAACTTCCTTTAATTCACTTCCGCCATCCTGCACAACTTCTTTCCTCATCCTTTCTCGCTCTTCTTCTTCTAGCACGGATTGGTGAGCAAGTCGCCAAGCAATTTCTTTCATGACATCATCTCGCATGTCCTCACTCATGCTCGCCTCTTCAAAGCTCGGTGTGGGATGTGGAAAGGTGTGGTCGACTACAACAGGACATTCATAATCATGATCATCATGAGAGCTCTTCGTGACAATTGTTGTATGCTCCACGACATCCTCATAAATGACTTCTTCTTCCTCCCTCTCTGCTTGTATTGTAGCATAAAAGTTGTCTTGAGAAAACTTTGCACAAGCTTTCTCAATGACCTCTATGTGCTTCTTTATGCTCTGAAGGGTCTCCTCTGCTTCACGGGGACAGGAGAAGGCAGTTTGGGCAATGGCATGGATATGAGGATCCATCTCGGGAAAGGATCTCTCAAGTACTCGAGCAATCTGCTCCACGAGAAGCCTCAAGTGATAGTTTGGATCTGGCTATGGAGTGTAGCATGGCTTTGCCGGATGGCCCATGAAGGCCGTCATGACTAACTCCAGCTCTGATGGCCCTGATGGTTGTGGGAGGAATTCTTCTTAATAAGGAGATTGTTCTTGAAATGCCTAAGGGTCTGATTGTTCTTCATAGAAGGGTGGTTGGTACTGAAAACCAAATCCATAGTCTTCTACTCCTTGATTGCTCCATGAAATCTCGAGGTAATACCACTCGGATGGTGGTTGATACCCCCAATGGTTAGAGAAGCCATGAGGATTCGTGTTTCAGATCTTCACCAACAAAAACATAACACCCAAGTAAAAAGCAAGGGTGGAAAAGAAAATAAAAACGCTAAAGTAACAAACTTCTGCCTTTCTTAATAATCTAGAAAGTCCCCGACAACGGCGCCAAAAACTTGACTCGCAAAAACACAACTCCTTACAATGGCCAAGTGTAACCAATGAAAGGGACTGCAATATAGTGACACAAGTAATAAATATCGAATCCACGGGTCTCTAGAGTTACTATAACTCAGCTTCAGTTCATTATCTAGCAAACTAGATTAAGGATTGATTTACTAAACTACTATGCTAACTACTCTACTAATTACAGGTTGGGAACTCACTTAGGTATGATACCCCCTAGCTCCTTAATTAGGTTCAAGTTGTAATTTCTTTTGGTTGTTTTACTATTGATTAAACTGCGGAAGATCCTAAATTAGCTTGGAATCTCTTAAGCTGACCAAGCCCTGTTAGACAGAATACTTGGCTGGCGACTAGCCTTCACCGGAATAGACTGCTAAGGCGATTCACACAGATCTCCACTATTGGAATGAATTCCAGTACAAAGCAGTGAATTGACTGACTCTTGCACAACCAATTCACTACTATCAATCAACGAAACTCTCTTAACCTAATCAGATTCTATCTATCATAGGTTAAAGCAGAAATCAAGAGAATTTGATCAAGATTCAATTGACTCAATAAATCATGACTCAATCGATTATAATCGCACAATATATCATCCAAAACTTCATACAAGAAAGATCCTAAAACATGGTAGTAGGGTTCCTCAAAACCTAAGTGAAGGGAAGTTACTCCATAGAGTAGAGAGAGACTGCAGAAATCTGATCTAGATTTTCAATCTCAATCTCCAAGCTTGATACCCGAGCTCCAATGGTGAAGAAATCCTCAAAAATAGCTCCAAGAATGTTCCCAAGTCGCTCCAAGAATGAAAGTAAACAGACCCTATATAAATGTTGAACATGCTCTTAGAAGTGTTGCTTATCATGCAAGCTTTAGGAACACTTACATGTAGTTTGGTGATTGGTTGTGGTTTGGAATCGAGGGAAGTGTGGTTTTTAACCGATGCTACTGGCCATTGAGTATAGGAGAGGGTTCTAATCAAAACCTTAGAACCTTTTGTTGTTTTAGGATGGAAATGTGGAACCTTGTGCTATGTTTGCCACCACCCAAAAAGCATTTTCCCTATGTTCTAGACCCTAGCCAGTCAGTTGAACCTGTGTCCAAGACCTCCGGACAAGCTACCAACGCCACGCATCTTGTGAGCTCTAACATTTAGAGGCTATCGTCATGGTAAAGGGACGTTAGGATTGAGCGTGAATATGCACATATTTTGCATCAAATGGTCCTGACCCCACTGGTCGAGAGTGAGCGATTCTTCATCATGTTTTGTTTATTTCTTTTACCCCGGTGAGGACCTAGGTTGCTCGATCGTTCGTTCCTATGATGTGATCTTCATGCATGAGTAACTGTGATTGGTGAGTCGTAGAGGCATGTTGTGTGTTGGTTGATGAATAATTTGAGAACTCTTCTTTTGCTCAATCTTAACATAGTTGAATGTCGTTTGTGGTGGTTGCTAAGATTACTTAGTTTTTGTCCATAGGTCGGTGTCAAATAACCATTGTGATTCATTCGTCTTGTGCCCTATGATATGCCCCAAAAATTGTGTTGAAAAAGAAGTTGTAAGCTTACCTTGTTTTGTACTTGGTTTTCTTGGGGACAAGCAAACGTCTAAGTGTGGGGGTGTGATTCGGGCCCAAATGTACACATTTTACCCCTCATTTCTTATTCATTTAGCTTAGTATTTCATCGTTCCTTGACATATTTCACACTAGGTTATGTTTTTTTTATACATTTCAGGTCCTAGCACGTGTGGAAGGGTCGAGGTCGAATTTTGGGATAATTGGAGGTCAAAAAGTGCAAAAACCGAAGAAAAGTCTGACCATGACATTTGCCTCGTAATAGTGAAGTGAAGGCGTCCCAAGAAATAGTCGCACTTCATGACTAGACGAGGCAGTTCACGGTCTCCGAAGACCGTGAACTTCGACCACAAACCTTGAATACCGAGGCGTCCAACAAGGTTCCTGAAGTTACTGACGACAAGGCAGTTTACGGTCCCTAAGACCGTGAACTGTGGCCATTGACAGTGAACCTAGGAAGCAAGGCGATACATTTTGGAGACGACTGAGTTCACAGATGTGTTTAGGTGTTGACGGTCGTGAACTGGCCAACACGTCCATGAACTGATCGCTTTCGGGCAAATATGAAGACAACAGCGGGGAGAGAGAAGGGAGCTGGTTTTTGGAGAATAATTGGTTTCTTTCTCTAGGGTTTTCCTAAAAACACCAAAGGGGAGTTCTAGTGAGAGAGAGAGAGAGAGAGAGTGCTAGAGTGATCTTGGAGCATCATTGGAGGCTTGGATGGAGATTCAAGCCTAGAAGAAGAAGAAGAAGAAGATCTTGAGCTCAAACTTGTAATCCCTCTCTCTCTCTCTCTCTCTCTCTCTAGAAAATCACTCTTTTCTCTTAGGTGTTGTATATCCCTAACTAATACTTTGTAGTTACTTGTCTACAAAAAAGTATAAGGCAATGTCAAGATAAAGAGTTTGCCACGTAAGACTCTGTTGCAACGGCCGTATAGTGCGGAGGGACATTACTGTAACTTCCCTAATCCGTTCTTTCCTCACCGTCCGTCTTCCAAAACAATAACCTCACAATTCCTCAGTCTTCCTCCTGCACATTTTACTCTGTCGGAGTCTGCCCTCTACCCCCACACCTCTCGTCTTCGTTGCCGTGGATCCCTCAATCTCCCAGCGCCGCCCTATCTCTATTTCCTGACTCTGCTCGCTTGCTGTTGTTCTCGCCGCACGCTACCGGGAAAACCCCTCATCTCCTCTGTTGTCGTCTATGTGTGTCTCCCACCTGCCTCCTCTCTTTTGCTCTTGCCGTCTGTCCCGCCTCGCAGTCTCTCACTAGTACTGTCCTTTACCCAAACCATCCCGAAATATTTAACCCGCCTCTGCTCTATCGCTTTCTCTGTTTACCTCGCCGGGCAGAGTCGAGTTGTCGATCGCCTTCATAGTTCCACTGAGACTGGCCAATTAACCTCTCATAGTGCGCATTGGAGCTATATCTCCTGTACCTGTAAGTTCGCCAAGTTTGGTTTATGTTTTATTTTGGCTTCTGACTGTGTTTCTAGGTTTCCCCTTGCAACTTCATTTCCGCTCTCTCCGGCCGAGATCAATGACCATAAAAGTCGGTAATATTCATCTTTCTTCTTGGTTTAAATGTATGGATTGTCTTCTTTTGTTGAGATTTAATTGCGGAATTCAGTGGGGTTCTCTGTCTGCAAATTTTTCTCATCAGATTGATAGTCTCTTCTCTCGAATGGCAACAGGCTGCTTCCTGGCTGCCAATTGTTATGTATGGTTTTGTTTCTCCAATTGGTAATATAGAGATTTTGGAAGCCCAAATACTATGATCAGCTGGTATTTATTTTTCGATCTCGAGGTTTTGTTTCTCAAGTTCGATTCATTACTGCCAAATTGATCTCAATGGTAGTTGGTGTTTGAATGAAACTCACTACACTATGACTGAAAAGCTATTGAGAATGTTAGCTTCATTTTTTGGATTATGTGATTGCGGGGGGTTTTCTATCTTTCTTGCCTCTGATGTGTTATTTCTTGCTTATCAATTTGGAGGTTTGGCCTTCTGTATAAATTTATCATCAACATAGTCTTTTTTTAACCAAGTATTTATTGGTTCCTATTATGTTTCACATAATTGAAAACCGGAATGAATTTTTTTTATCAGGTAGTAATGCTCTTATATAGCTGCTATCTGAGTTTGTTAATTTCCAACCATTAGCTAAGATTCTGCTATACACAGACCAACTAGCGGCAATATCGACATAAAGCTGCAGTTGGGACTCCATATGGTCAGTTGAAAATGATAGCAATTAGCAAAGACTATAAGATTCGAGAGAAATATGATGGTGCTCAATAGAATGGTGCGAGTGTTTGACTTTAGAAGCTTAGTGATCACAAGCAGTTTGTTCGTTTCAAGTGGAATTTTATGAGGTTGGTTGTATTTCTTAAACATTGGAACTGTTCTTTATATAAATTTATTGAACTTGGTTTATTTGCTTAGATGTGCCTTTGAAACACATATGAAGTTTGATTATAGTTCATTGTGCAATTGGGAGTTGGAGTTTGCTGCATAATGTTAGTTTGATTACTTCACAAATGACACTTGCTAACTGAATATAATAGCTGGGGTTGGTCAGTCCCATGGGGCTTCCTCACAACTCATCTCATTGATGAAGTGAGATGACTAATTAAGTTATCCAATATCGTTATGAGCTTTATGAATAAGATATATCTAAATGAAAGAGTTCTTATAGTTGTAAGAGAAGTTTGTTGCAGTAGCTGCATGAAATCATGTGTCTACCTTGGATCAGTGGTGGGGAAGGATAAGTATACAGAAGCAACTTTTGCTTCTGAGTTGGCATTCTTTCAAAGTAACTCTCCCATTTCAAACATCTATAGTAAAGTAATCTCCCATTTTTGTTGGGTGTTTATTGTATGATAATTTTAACATCTTTTTAGTTTTTATCTTATGAAATATAACATC